CCCTCCATGCCTATTACTTCCTTTGTGCCCCCACCCCATCACTCTTTCTGCCTATCACTCTCCCGGCCTCCCATCTACTCCTCTCGCACAGCAGCAGTGGCAGCAGCCACTCTCCAGGAATCAGAATGGATTGTCCAAATACAGAGGTCAGTTCCTCTAAGGGTTGCCAACTCCATATTGGGAAATTCCTGGAGATTTGGGGCTGGAGCCTTGGGAGGATGAGGTTTGAGCTTGGGAGTGACCTCAACAGGCTATACCATAAACTCTACCCTTCAAAGCAGCCATTTTTCCCCGGGGGAACTGATCAGTTGTAATTCCAGGAGATCTCCAGCCCTGTCCTGGAAGTTGGCAACAGTCGTTCCCCTGGAGGAAATGACTGTTTTGGAGGGTGGAGTCTATGGTATTAGATCTACCTGAAGTCCCTCCCCACCTCAATACCCACCATCTCCAGGCTCCACCCCTCAAATAGCCAGGACTTTCCCAACCTGGAGTTGGCATCCCTATCTCCTTCCCACCCAACAGCCAACCTACCTTTATCTGCCCCTCTGTCTTCAGCTTTCTGTCTCCTTTCCTCCTGCAGTTTCTACTGAGGAAAACTATGGTCTTTCTCCACAGTGGAGACTAAAGCAGTTTACATTATTCTCTCCTCCTTTTTATCCACACAACAACCCTATGAGGTAGGTTAGGCTGAAAGTATGTGATTGGTCCAAAGGCACCCAGTGAGTTTCCACAGCAAGATGGGGATCTAAACCTGTGTCTCAAAAACCCTACTCTGAAGAAGCTCTGGCCATGATACTACACTGACTTTCATATGGTGGCTGCTGTTGAACAGCAGCAAGCAGTCAGGCCTAGTTGAATCATGCAAGTCAGGTGGTATCAAGTCACCCAGAGGGTACTGCTAGGCCTAGGTTTGCTAGCCTCCAGGTGGGACCTGGAGATTCACCAGAATTACAACTGAACTCCAGACAACAGAGATCTATCCCCCCCAGAGAAAATACATGGACTCTGTGGGATTATATCCAGCTGAGGCCTCTCCCTTCCCACAACTCTGCACTTCTCAGACTTCACCACAGAATTGTCAGGAATTTCCCAATTTGGAACAAGCAATCCTAGTCCCAGGCCTGGCTCCTAATCTCCTGCTATTTAGCCATTCATACTGCGGGAGGAATCCTCCCCAATCCAAGCTCATTCTGCCTTTTCCTTCCTCCCCTCACTCTGGCTATCAGCCAGTTTATCTCTCACTGTCGATGCAGCAGGGCCTGGAGTAGATCCCTGCAGTGGCCATTTCCAAAGGTATTGGGGGGAGATTCAACCCTCCGAGTTTTTTAAAAAAACTTTTTGGATTTTTCTTCAGACCCACAGAGCCCCCTGAGTGCCCCCTATCTGTGGAAATAAGTATCTGCACACAGAGGGGACTGTTGAAAATTAGATATAGAGATGTGGAGCAGAGGTCCATCAGTGGCTTTTAGCTGTAAGGTGTAAATGGAACACTAAGTCTTGGTGCCCCGCAAGCACCAAGTAGGGTTGCCAGCCTCCAGGTGCTGCCTGGATGTCTCCTGCTATTACAACTGATCCCCAGGAGAGAGACCTCAGTTCCCCTTGGAGCAAATGGCTGCTTTGAAAGATGGACTATATGGCAGTATATACCAGTGGGGTCTCTCCCCTCCCCAAACCCTGCCCTCCCCAGGCTCCACCCCCAAAATCTCCAGGTATTTCCCAACCCGGAGCTGGCAACCCTAGCAACAAGTATTATTGGTGCTTGGGGGGCAACAGTGTGAGGTCTTCTGGAGTCTGGCCCCACTGGTGGACCTCCTGATGGCACCTGGTTTTTGGCCATTGTGTTGACACAGTGTTGGACTGGATGGGCCATTGGCCTGATCCAACATGGCTTCTCTTATGTTCTTAATTATGGCATGAGGGTATATATTTATTATATGTCTGTCTATTCATGTATAAATCAGGGTTGCTGTCTGTTTTTTAACAGAAAATGAAGCATGCAGGTAAGGGAAACAAACCCATTCTTCAGTCCCTCCTTAGTTGCACTCTGTTGCTTTAGGCAATTTCATCAAACTTCACTCACAGTGGTAGAGACAAGTTGGGAGAAAAATGTTTTAAACGAAAACATTAATGCGATGTTAAGTAGAGTTATACCCTTCCGCATTTATTGAAGCCAATGGGCATAAAACAGTTAACTCTGCTTATATTTGCACTGATAAAGTGAAGAGGGGAATGGGTTGAATTCAGTTTTCCTTACATGATGGCACCATTTTAATTGAACAAAACACTACCAACCCCTATTGCATACATGAACAAATAGACTCACTAATAAATATTTGGATTCCTCTATTATGTCCAATTTGGCTATGAATCTCTGAATTATAATGTGAACAGTTATTGGATAGACACTGTCAACCTCCATAACATACTGGACTTAAATAATATGAGTTAACTAATGCTAGGAATAGAGCTAAGTGGCCCATCCATAAGATGTTGAAAGAAGACCTTTATTTTGATAGATGGTATTTCCAATGTGGATACTTGTGGCTTCCATTCAAGGTTACCAGATGTCCCTACAAGCATTCCTTCATGGAATCTGCTTCATTCCATGCCATAACCCAGACACATAAATAAATGGATATTCCTTATTTCAGAAATATATGGATAAGCTGAAAGTACTGCAGAGTAGCAAAATAATAAAATGTACTGAAGGCAAATTCTATGAGGAAAGGCTAAAGAAACACATTAAGTTTAGCACTGTGGGGAAAAATTATTCTGGAGAATTATTCTGGAGAATTGCAGAGAAGGGCAACTCGAATGATAAAAGGGTTGGAACACTTTCCCTATGAGGAAAGGTTAAGGCGCTTAGGGCTCTTTAGCTTGGAGAAACGACGACTGAGGGGTGACATGATTGAGGTTTATAAGATTATGCATGGGAAAGAGCAGGTAGAGAAAGAGGCACTTTTCTCCCTTTCTCACAATACAAGAACTCGTGGGCACTCCATGAAATTGCTGAGCGGTCAGGTTAGAACGGATAAAAGAAAGTACTTCTTCACCCAAAGAGTGATTAACACTTGGAATTCACTGCCACAGGAAGTGGTAGCGGCTACAAGCATGGACGGCTTCAAAAGGGAATTAGATAAGCATATGGAGCAGAGGTCCATCAGTGGCTATTAGCCACAAGGTATAGATAGGGACTCTGGGGCAAGAGATGCTCTGTCATCTTGGTGCTTGGGTGGGTCAACAGTGGGACGGATTCTAATGTCCTGGCCGCACTGGTGGACCTCCTGATGGCACTGGTATTTCTGGCCACTGTGTGATACAGAGTGTTGGACTGGATGGGCCTTTGGCCTGATCCAACATTGGCATCTCTTATGTTCTTATGTTTATTCCAGAACTCAGTTATAGGGCAAGCAGTGGATTTAAACTATATAGAAACTGATGTATGTATCAGGAAAACTTACCAATCTAAAAGCAGGTCAACAATGCAATAAGCTGAGAAGGGAGGTTCTAGGTTGACTTTTCTTGGAGGTTTTCAGGAAAACTGGACATATATCCATTGGGGAAGCTAATGTTTGAAAGCTTATCACAAGTTACTCATTGAGAAGCTCTATAATGGCAGATGAGCTTGTGGAGGACTGTTTGCTTACTACTATTAATATTTCCCTGCAATGTATAGCCACAGGAGTTATGTCAGATATGTTCTGGGAAATATTCTTACTTCACATGGTGCAATGGTAAAGTAAAACAGCAAGGACATTGCACTACATAAAAAGTATGAGCTAGGCCCATTGCCAGGAAATTCTCTACAAACCACGGGCTGTTTTGGGTTGATCTGGAAAAGTTAGTTGGAGATGTAAAATTTGGCAACTACTGATTCAGGCATCAAAGACTCTATCTTAAGTACAGCATTCACATACAGAATCCATTAGGACTGTTTAAAGTATAAATAAGGTTCCAGGATCTAAAGTATGGTCGCCTATCAGTTTTGCTAGAAATAGGCTTGTGGACACTGGCAGAGAGTTAGCAAAAATGTTTTCTAAAACATGGAATGAATACACAGATGGAAGCCAGTATTTGAACAGGCCAGTTGTCCTTAAACTGACATAACATTTTGGTGCCCACCACTTTGGAAATGGTGGAAGAAATAAGAGAGCCAACACAGAGAACTGTGTAAATAAGCAGGCCATATTGACCATATTTCCAGTTGGCATGTTTTACCGTAGCTGGAGCTCAGGCCTAATCTGCTGAACTCAACAGCGGCAGGGCAGCTTGCATACCACCACAGTTCATCTGCTGCATAAGTGTGCGAGGAATAATTGGCAACAGAGGCATGACACAGGTGGGTCCCTACCCAAAACAAAGCATCAGTTGTGACAGCAAACAGTAACAAAGCAGTGTAAAAACAACACGAGCAAAAGCCTCAGTCCCCTTTTTAAAACCCAAGGTGGACCAAGGGTATTCCCCCACTCCAACCAGGAAATACTATTATCATCAGACTGTGATGCAGGCCCAAAAGGTGGAATAAGGCCAAATAGAGTTGGCACTAAACCCTGAAGGAATGTAAACAATGGTGCATGGATTCCCATTTTTCCTTCCCTAACTATGGGGCATAAACTGGCCCCACTTGAGCACAGGAGAAGTTTTAGCCTTGGAAACAGACTTTTCATATTATCACATTTTGGTGTTTATGCCAAAGCAACTATTTTGGTTATTGCAGCCATCTTCTTGGTTTTTGTGTATTCCTGTCAGAGTGATCTAATTTAATCATGACTTAGCACAAAAGATTCCATTAAGTACTGGAAAAAATAGAAATACTTCAGAGAAGATAACAAATCACTTAGAAAAACATGGTAGTGAGGCAACGCAAACAAGAGAGAAAGATAATGACATTAGGGATTTTTCCCCTTAGAGAAATGCATGATTAACACCCATCTGTGCAGCATAAAACAAAGAATGCAACTGTCACATCAGTGATTGCTCACATATACAAAGAAATGTACCTTCCCATAAATCCACTGTCTGGAAAATATCTGTTGTTCTTACTCCATAAATTTCTGCAGCTTTCAAGAACTGAGAAATTTGCTCCATTTGTTTGAAAGCCATCTTTGATTCTGAGATCTTGGGAATGGGTTCCTTCCCCCTTGGATGTAAACTGTTTATTAACTTGCACAGCAGCTGGGACATTGAAGATAGAAGGAGAATTGAAAGGGGAAAACAATAAATTAGTTCCAGTTGACAGAAGACCCAATATATATGTTATTTAATTTATGCTAGATGGTCACTCTGATGCTATTAGTAGCAGTAAATTTTAATTAAAATAATAAAAAACCAGAAATGTATACAACTGAGAATAATTCCAGTAAGTATGTTAAAAACTAGCCCAAGCTTTCATATCCACAGCTGGACAAAACATGCATGGATGTACTTGAGCGTACAAAATCAAATAATTTGCTAAAGATTACATAACAATTGACAGTTGCATGGGAGAGTAAAAATTAGCCTGAGCCCAACTTAAGTACCACCAATTGGTTTGCTGTTAAAAAACACAAGGGAATAGTCTTTTGTATAAATCTTGGCATATTTGTATTTGTTTGGCAAACAGATGAACTATCATTTAAAGCCTTTATAGTGATTGTTCTCTCCAAAATTGGATCAGGATTATGGTACACATACAAATTTCTGATCTTTTTTTTTAGATAAATAGCATTAATTGGTTTCTAAAGAAGATAAGCTTAGTATTAAAAAGCTTGGTTTTAAAAAAATCTGCCCTAATTGTCAGAGAAATGGTAATCTGTAGTTACCATATTACATAATCATCCATCCATCTGTCTCTGCAAGCATATGTTCACTGTTCTTGTGAAGGTCTCCAGATCATGATAATCATAGTTTTAAATGTTTTGTTATCTGCCTGGAGTCCTCATAAGAGATACAAGGTTAAGAAACTGAATTACTAAATTCACAATAATACAGTACGTGATCTTATACCTCCTTCCTAAAAAACATGATTTATAGTGCAATCTTAAGTGGGGTACCACAGTTTAAACCCATTACAATGAATGAGCTTAGAAAGGTGTAACTCTTTTTAGAACTGCTCTGTTAATATCTCTTACTTCCAAGCAATATGTTTAGAAGCACAATACCTGAGGTAATTGATTAACTTTACCCAGTGTAAATAAAGATGGGAAAAGTTAAGGACCAAGTATTACTGTATGCAAACATTACTATTAGAAGCATTTGTAACGTCAGACTGTTACTTACTGTTCCATCCATTAGCCATTTCTGAAAATGTTGCCTTCCAGGAGGGGGCTGCTCTGTATTTTCACCACACTGTACAATAATCCAGTCCACCAACCGACTTTCCAATTCTGGGTCATATTTCTGTTCAATCTTCTCCTGGACTTCTCGGCTTAAGCCATAGCTGGGTCCCCTGTTGGCCATCTCTAGGAGGAAGAAAAACTACTTTGTTTAATTTGTAAGGAGCAGAACACTCTGGAAAAAGATTCTAAAGCTTCCCAAAGCTGCTCAAAAAAAAATGTCGCAAGTGTAAAAAAAAATCAGATTATGTCTTTTAATGTGATGTCGAATATTTTAAGATTATATATAGAAAACGATTGAAGTTTAGCAGAGGTTGCAAGTGATGTTCCTACAGTTGCCAGGAAGAGATGTAAGCATTTCAGGTTAACATTGCATCTTCCAGCAAAATCCAGAAGTGTAATTTTGGTGGGTTTAAAGAACAAAAAAAACCCTATACAGGAGGATTTAAGCGATCCTTTCAGTGATGCAGTGAGCTTCTCTCAGCAGTGATCTAGGTCTGGAGGCGCAAGGACCATCGAAGCAAGAGATGTTGGTTAAAATTTAAGGCAAGATCAAGGCTGCTGCAATGTGCTGCTGCTCTTGGTACTGCTGCTGTAAAAGCATCCTGATTTGAAGGAGGGTGTATTGATTTGATTTTCCTCACAGATGAGGAGGGTCAAAGCAGGGGCGTTGCTAAGAGCTATTAAAGAGGCCCTCCTCCTACTCTGTCACAGCCGGCGAGGGAGTCCTATTCATCTCGCTCTGCTGCAGCCTGCTCCTCTGCACAGGCTTCCACTGCTGTCAATCCCGGCCTTCCAGGCTGCGCTTCTGTTCTTATGCTGCAGCCGTTGTCATAGTGCCCAAGAAGATGGCAGTTTAAAACACTCTCAGGATGAATAGCTGTTGTCTATTTTTCTTTAAAATGGGGGGGGGACTTAAATCTGGGCAAACCGTAAGCAGTGCTGTTTTCAAGGGCTTTACAGACTGTTTTCAAACAAGGTGACAAGGATAATTTTAACAGAATTGAAATACAGGGTTTGTTTGTTTTTTTAAAAAGGAGCATCATGAAGTTTGGATAGGATTTATTCCCCCCAATTCCCACGCACTCGACCTGCATGGGAGAGCTGAACAGCATATTTCACATTCTTGAGGCACAGGCCATAGTAGAGGCCTCAAATGCTGAGGTGGGCAAAACATGTCAATCTTTATTGACTTCATTTATACACAATTTTTCTCCCCAGTGGGATCCCAGAGCAGCTTATATCATGCTCCTCTTCTTCATTTTATCCTTACCACAACTCTTGGGGGTAGGTTAGGCTGAGTGAGTGTGTGTGGCTGGCCCAAGTCCACCTGGCAAGCTTTCATGGCAGAGTGGGGATTGGAACCTGGTTCTCCCAGATCCTAGTCCCATACACCAACCACTATACTACATTGGCTTGGGACGTGAAAGTGGTCACTTTTTCAGTGATCTTCATCTCTCCATGGATAATTACATAGGGCCTTCCTTTGCCACTGGCTGCATTGCTGGCACATCTTGAGGTGGACAAGGGACTCTTAATTACAAGAACTATCAAACACTGATATCAAGTACAGGGGGAGCCCTTCCTTAAAAATATAATTAAACATTGACACCCCTGCCTGCTCTCTAAAGTGGTATGGTCCAGCAGCATAGTCCTCACTCAAACATGGTGATCATGTTTCCTGTTCCCTGAGGAATGCTCCCCAATGACAAAGCCAAATTCCCAGTCTTAAAGGCATCTTTTCATCAAAATGTGCATACAATTTTCTGCACTGACTAAGTAGCATTGAAATGCTTTCCACGTCATATATATTTGGCTTTGTACAACCAAACCTAATCTCTGCAGATTCTCTCGTCTGCCAAATTCTGGAGTCATGGATACAAGAACTTATATAATTCTCAGCATCTTCTGTGCTTGAATTCATGAAATATTCAATAGGTGACCTCATTTGTCTGCAGGCTCTTGGTATTATGTACTAGTATTTTTTAAAGGCTACAATACTTTGTTCTATAATCCAGCTTTCCTAGAACTCATCGCATTGTATACAGATGAAGCTAGATAAACAAAGTACCTGAACAAGTCCATTTATTTAATCACTGCCTTAAACATGTTGTATGTAAGAGGGAGTACAGCACATTTGTATAATTCTTGTATATGCATATTCCAGTTGTATCATTCTGGAATATGTATGATACTCAAAACAAAATAGACTTTTAATTTATAGTGGTTTGTGTATTGAATGCTATAGCATGGCAATAAAAGGATATTAGATCCCCATTAATACTAGTAGGATCTTTTAAAAACTGGAGATGCTAGGGATTGAAACTGTGACTTTCTGTATGCAAAGCAGATGTTCCACAAACCCTCTCCAAAGTATTTTGTATGTTGTAAATCGAGAACATAAATATACATTTTTCAGTGCTAGTTTGGAAGTATGCTTATAAACCCCACCAACGGGTACCATCTGAATTAGATAGGTACTGTTCTTTTAAAAAAAACAAATCTGATATTTCTATGAATGAAGGTGTATGGATAAGGACAGAGGAGAGAAGAATGAACTATTAAAGAATCAATATATATATATAAAATGGCCAAATCTTTTGGAGCATAAATCCAGAGACTGGAGCCATGGACAGCTAAGACAGATCTTTCTAAAAACTAAAAACACCCCACAGTTGCAGGAAAATATTTTTTTTTAATGCATGGTGTGTTTTTTTAACCTCCACCCCCGTAAGCAGTGTATGTAGGTTTTAGGAACAAATGCACCCAGTGGGCACTGCTAGGCAATCACAATTGTATTGCCCATGGCTTTTTTTGTAGAAAAAGCCCAGCAAGAATTCATTAGCATAATAGGCCACACCCAACAGCAGAAACTCATTAGCATATTAGGCCACACACCCCATGCCTTCCCTTGGCTTGCCCGGGTGCCAAGCTGGCCCTTGGACAGGCCGGGGAAGGCATGGGGAGGCATTTAAATGCCTCCCTGATCCTTCCAGCCCCCCTGCCCTGCCCACCCCAGAGTCATCAGGGGGGCGCTCTCCAGGTCTTCCCTCTGTAGCCACGCATGCAGAGGTTTTGGCTATAGTAGGCATGGCCAATTCTGAAGCCAGACAGAACTCCGTTCCTGTGCGTTCCTACCCAAAAATAGCCCTGGTATTGCCAGCCTTCAAGTCTGGCTTCTGTTAGGGGGAGAGGCAGAGCCTCTCCAGGGTAGTTTTGGCATTTGATGGATTTAGCTTAGATTAGATTGCTGTATAGCAGAACATTTTCCTTGGTGGGGTAAGCCTCATGTGATTTGCTGTAAAGGATTGCTCTATGAAGAATAAAAGTACTATAAAAATTATAGCTAGATGTTGTGTAATAAACACACAAAAATGGAAATACAGCAAATGCAGTTATACAAATAGAATAATCTGTCATGCTGTACAAATCACACTTGAGACTACTGTCTTCTTATACAGTTCTACTTACAACCAAAATTAATACACATAAATAAGTTTGCCACCATGCATAAATGACAACTGCACCAGCTGAATAGTGGCCTAATAGTCCTACTTGGAACATACTGGTAGACTTTGGGTGCAGTCAGACAGCGTCTAGGAGTGGGTTAAACTGCTCCAGCTCCATGCGTGTTTTTTTTTAACCTGGAGAATCGCGATCACACTCACCTCCTTGCTCCAGATTGCTGCGCAGCCACATTGCTTCCCGCTGTCTACACGCGTCAGTGTTGTTTTTCTCTCTCTGTTTGGGCATGCACACAGGCAGCTATTTGTAGAACAGCAATTTCCTCTTCAACCCAACTGCTGTAACACTTCCCTTTAAACTTTAAAAGAACACTTCCCTTTAAACGTTTACCGCCAAAAATGGCTTCCCTGAGATCCCGAACTCGTCTAAAGGCTAAAACTAGGCACCATTTAAGCATTGTTTTTAATAACCCTGTGGCGGACCTCCGCCTATGCGCACACCGCCCATGCTTTTTTTAAAATGGCGGGCGAAAAGCGGAAGCCTTGGGCAGCTTTCAAGCGGGGAGGGGGTTTAAACCAGAAGTGGCTCAACACTGGAGGAGCGATCACACAGGGGGAAAAAGCATCTGGAACCAGAGAATCAGGAAAACACCACTTGGGGGCCTGGTATCAAAATACTCCGGCTTAAAGCTGTTTTGAGTCGAAAAGCAACAACTGGGGACGGGAGGCAGATGTTGACCGTGTGATTGCGCAGATAAAATCCATTTCTGAGGTGGGCCGAAACGGCCTGTCTGAACACACCCTTCATGTCATTTTGAATTTTGCCAGAGCTGGATTAAGCTCCATCACTAAGAAAAGCAGCCTGATGAAGCCCTAAGAAACAGCAAAGCAACCTAGGCATGCCGTTGCCGCTCCTTTGATTCACACTACAGCTAGTCTTGAGCTTATGCTGTCTACTGCATGCTTTCTTCTGGAAACTCTTCTCTGCATGATGAGCCGGTGACCGCATCAATCTGAAGAGAGTACTTTCAAGAATTATTAGGTCACGGGCTTCCGGTCTGGCTCCCGCGCATGGCGGACGCTTCCTCGGGTCGCTCCCGAGGGCGCCTCGCCCGCCCGCGGTGGAGGAGGGAATCCGCGCGAGCGGAGACCCGAACGAGCCCCTCAGAAGAGAGGAGCTCGGATCCGGGGCGCTTTAGGGCGCACTAGGGGGGAGTCGCTCTTTCGGCCGAGAGGTCGGAGAGCGAGGCTCCCGCCATGCCCTGCCCCAATGGACCTTGCTGCGTGAGCGACCCCGAACGGGGTTTAGCGGAGCCACCAGACGTCACCGAGTGATAAAGCGACCATCCGGAAAAATTGAAAAGAAAAAGAAAAGATCGGCTTAACTGTGAGTTGTCAAAATGCAGAGAAAAAGAACTGAAAATTGTTTCCCCCCCCTCCCAGCGAAAAAGGCGAAGAGGTTAATCCTCCATTTATACAAGCGAAAAAGAAAAGGAGGGGGGGGGATGAATTGAGCGGACAGTGATGTTTTCCTTTGATGTATTTGAAAGCGAGAAGCTTGTCTCTCTGGAGCACATTTTAAGAACTTTCTAAAAGTAAACAAAAAAGAAAAGATGTCGGAGCTGGGCAAAAGCGAGCGGAGAAGGAGGGAGGGACTTCCGTCTGGGCGTTTGTTTGTGTGCAAGAGCCGGCTGTTGAATGTTTGGACTGTTTATGGCTGTGAATCCGACGGGAGTTTTGCAAAAAAGATAAGTTGGAATTGTGACAGCGAGAAGTGCCTGATAAGCGCTTATAAGTCAACAATTGCGAGGAGGACCCATAGAGAGTCTGGGAGCGAATATAAAAGCGAAAATGAAATTGATACCATTCTCGAAAATGGGGACCTCCGGGGCATGAAAGGAAGAGGATTTATAGTACATGAACTGAGCGTATTAACAACAACCCGAAGGAGGATCTAACAAGCCGGAAGGAGAAGACAACAGAGACAACAGAGGAAGCTCCTCCACGTCAGCGATAGTAAAAGTACCCAGCACGCAAAGAAGCGGTTCTGGATGTGCACAGAAGAGACCCTTTTTATTAACAGAATCTCAAAGGAACATTACTAACATACTAACAGAGAATACATGTAACAGGACTAAGAAAAGA